CCACCACTGCCTGTCAGGATAACTTTGTATGGTAAAGGAAAATTAGTCTTGTTAGTGAGATTCTCAGAAATTGTTAGGTTTATATTTGGGAAAAGGAGTAAAACAATATTTGAAAGTCATATATGCTCAGGTTTTAAGCACAGTCATCATTTTCATTTGAAGTCTCTATTTTTTTAAAAGAAATATTAGCCAGACGGTGGTACCACATGCCTTTAATCCCAGCACTCCGGAGCAAAGGCAGTAGATCTCTTAAGTTCAAGGGCAGCCTGGTCTACAGCGAGCGTTCTAGGACAGTCAGGGTTACACTGAGAAACTCTTATCTCGAAAAACAAACCAAAAATATTGTCTGCATGAGCTGAACAACCTTCACAGCAAATGTTAATTATGCTTGATTTCTGTTTTTTGAGGCAGGATCTCATGTAACTCATAACGGCTTCAACATTGCTGTGCAGCTAAGGCTGTCCTGGAACTCGCTTGGTAGTCCAGGCTGGTCTCGAACTCACAGAGATCTGCCTGCCTCTGCCTCCTAAGTGCTGGGATTAAAGGCATGTGCCACTACTGCTCGGCTCAGGGAATATTATTTTGAGGTGTGTTACTTTTTTTTAAGATTTATTTATTGTGTATACAGTGTTCTGTCTGCATGCATGCCTGCAGACCAGATGAGGGCATCAGATCTCATTATAGACAGTTGTGAGCGGCCATGTGGGTGCTGGGATTTGAACCCAGGTCCTCTGGAAGAGCAGCCAGTGCTCTTAACCGCTGAGCCATCTCTCCAGCCCCGAGGTGTGTTACTTTTGTTTATGTTGCATTTGTTTAACTCTATGAAGGTGTGTTACCACACCTATCTAAAACACCTGATGAAAAAAAAATAAAACACCTGATGGTTTAATAAAGAGCTGAATGGCCAATAGTGAGGCAGGAGAGAGGACTAGACGGGGCTGGCAGGCAGAGAGGGTAAATATAAGGAGAAATCTGGGAGAAAAGAGGGGATCAAGGAGTGAGAGAGTAAGGAGGAGAACTTCGGGGGCCAGCCACCCAACTATACTGCCAGACACAGAATAAGAAGGAAAGAAAACGTATACAGGAATAGAGAAAGATAAAAGCCCGAGGCGAAAAAGGATGGAATAATTTAGGTTAAAAAAAAAAGTTGGCAAGAAACAAATCAAAGCTAAGGTCGGGCATTCACAACTAAGAATAAGCCTCAGTGTGTGATTTGTTTGGGAGCTGGGCAGTGGGCCTTCAAAAATCCAAAAGTAAAACATCACACAACAGAGTATTGTCTGCATGAGCTGAACAACCTTCATAACCTTAATCAAGTTTCACTTTTGTTTTTTGAAACAGGGTCTCGTGTAACCCATGATGGCTTCAAAATTGCTATGTAGATAAGGTTGAGCTTAAACTGATTCTTATGACTCTATCTTCGAAATGCCAGAATTATAGGCATGTACCACCATGCTGGGTTTTGGATGGTTCCAGGGATCAAACCCAAGGCTTTGCACATTCTAGAAAATCACTCTACCAACTGAGCTACACCCCCAGCTCCTGTGCTGGGATTTCTGACTTTCTTCTGGCAATGGTTTCAACTAGATCCAGGGTTGAGGTGCTCCCTTTTCCTTCCTACATCCCCTTAATTTTACCTGTCTACCTATCCTGTCAAAAAGGGACATTTTGTTTCTAAACAATAACATTCTATCAGTTTTCCCACCCCGTTCCTATTTCATTTAGCTCTCCTAAGAATGAAGCTTGTGTGTGTGTGTGTGTGTGTGTGTGTGTATGATTGAAAAGAAGGACTAGTAGTGATACATGTCTTCAATCCAAGTAGAGGCAGGTGCATCTCTGGATTCAAACATCTACATAACCAGTTCCAGGACAACCAGTGTTACATAGAGAACTCCTGTCTCAGTAAATAATGATAAACAAGTGGATAAAAATGTAGAAACATCATTTTGTAACTGAACTTGTTATTTCATGACTTTAATCCCAGCACCTGGGAGGCAGAGGCAAGTAGATCTCTGTGAATTCAAGGCCAGCCTGGTCTACATAGTGAGGTCCAGAGCAGCCAGGGTTACATGGAGAAACTCTGTCTCAAAAAAAAAATGTTTTTTTCTGGTAAGATTTAAAAGTAACTTTATGTGTTTGGCTGTTTTGCCTTTATGTATGTTTCTTGATACCTGCTGGGGCCACAAGAAGGCATCAGATCCTCCCTGGGACTAACGGTAGATTGTTGTAGGTACTGGGAATCCAGTATGGGTCATCTAGAAGAGCAGCCAGTGCGCTTAACTGCTAAGACATCTCTGCAGTTTCAAGTGTGTGTGTGTTTAGGTGCATAGAGGGCCCGGAAGAGGAGTCAAATCCCCAGGAGCTGGAACTGGTTATGTAGATGTTTGAATCCAGAGATGCACCTGCCTCTACTTGGATTGAAGACATGTATCACTACACCTAGTTTATTATCGTGAGAAGCATATGCATGCCACAACACACCTGTGGAAACAATAGGACAACCTTCTGGAGTCTGGAAGTCAATTCTTTCCTTTTACCATCTGAGTGTGTCTCAGGGATTGAACTCAGATCATAAGGTTTGGCAGCAAGCACCTTTATCCACTGAGCCTTCTCTTCAACCATCCTTCCACTTTCATGTAAGCTTGAGGGATTCAACTCAGGTCACAAGGCTTGTATGGATAGGTGCATTTATCTACTGAGCCATCTTCCCAGCATCATTGCCAGTGATGAACAAGCATATTTTTCTCACTCTGTACAACATCCCTTGGCCATCTTCTTGCTAGCCATGACCCTAACTATGCTCTTTACGTCACCAAAATCTCAGAAGTGCTATTTCTTATTGTCCCCAATTCTCCATTTTTAAAATTGTTTTTGAGACAGGGTCACATTTAGCCCAGGTTGGCCTTAAATTTCCTATAAAGCTAAGAATGACCTTGGACTCCTGATTCTCTGGCCTTCATCTCCCAAATTCTGGGATTATAGGCTTGCTAACTTTTTCTTTTAAAGGGTCTCATGGTATAGCTCAGATTAGCTTGGCACCTGCTATGGATCCCATGCTGACCTGGAATTTACTACAGTATAGGATGGATTTTAACCTTTTCACTTCTGCCTCAATTATGCTTGGGATTCAGGTATGTGTTACAATGCCCAACCTTCTCTTCCTTCTTAGCACATGGACAGTTCCTCAACCAAAGCTATACTTTTCAAGGTAGCTAGTGACCCCAGGATACGAAATCCATTGTTTTCCTGCCTATTGTTACCTTATTGATCCTATCACAAATGTCTGCTAATAGCATGCTGTCCTTTCCTGGCTTCTAAGCTGTCACCTTCTCTGGTTTCCTTCCTAGTTGACATCTTAGTTCTCTACGGTGTGGTGCTCTTTCCAGTTTTTTTCACCCTTGATATAAGCATGTTCAAGGCTCAGCCTTTTCCTCTGTTCTATCAGCATTTCTTCCATAGTGGTCTTTTTGTTTTTTCTTTTCTTTTCTTTTTTTTTTTTTTGGTTTTCGAGACAGGGTTTCTCTGTATTGTTTTGGAGGCTGTCCTGGAACTCGCTCTGTAGACCAGGCTGGCCTCGAACTCACAGAGATCCGCCTGCCTCTGCCTCCCCAGTGCTGGGATTAAAGGCGTGTGCCACCAACGTCCTGCTAGAACTTTTTTTTTTAATTGTTACTGTTTTGTTTTTGGAGATATGAGTTCTTTATGTAGATCAGGCTGGCCTAAAACTCAGAGATCCACCACCAGACTCTGCCTCCCCACTGCTGGGATTAAAGGCATACATATATCACCATATCCAGTTTCCTTCTAGTGCTTTCAATAATGAAGATTATTTCTAGGTTGGGTAGAAAGACTCACTGAAATGGATTTCAGGTGATCAGGTCCTTCAATAATGCCAATCACGGAGCTGACGAGTTGATTCAGTGGTTAAGAACACTCACAGGGGACCTGAAGTTAGTTCCCAGAACCCTCATGGAAGCTCACAACCATTAACTCTAGTTCCATGGGATGGAACACCTTCTGCTGATCTCCAAGGGCATTGCATACACATGGTACACATACATAAATGCAGGCAAAACACTCATGCACAGAAATAATCTTAAAAAAATGAGGACAGCTTCCAAAGCCACAGAGAAACCCTGTCTCGAAAAACCAATAAATAAATAAGTTAAAAAAAAAAAAACAAATGAAGGGCTGGAGATGTGGCTCAGTGGTTAAGAGTACTGGCTGCTCTTCCAGAGGTCCTGAGTTCAAATTCCAGTAACCACGTGATGGCTCACAACCATTTGTAATGAGATTTGGTGCCTTCTTCTGGCCTCTAGGCATACATGCAGGCAGAATAATGTATACATAGTAAATAAGTCTTAAAAAATAAATGAAAGTCACTTGTATTGTAAAATATGGTGGAAATCCAATAGGAATTTAAGAATACAGGAAAGGGCAGTGGTGGTGCATGCGTTTAATCCCAGCACTTGGGAGGCAGAGGCAGGCGGATCTCTGTGAGTTCGAGGCCAGCCTGGTCTACAAAGCTACACAGAGAAACGCTGTCTCGAGAAACCAATTAAAAAAAAAAAAAAAAGTAAAACAATAGTCCTGGCGGTGGAACTCATTCTGTAGACCAGGCTGGGCTCGAACTCAGACACCCATCAGCCTCTTCCTCCTGAATTGAGGGCATGGGCCACTATAATATTCACATCTATTATGTCTTCCCTAAAAAGGGAAGAGTGCCTGAGCTCAGGGGGTATGGATTTTTGAGTTTAGTCCATTAGTGAAGACACTAAATAGGCTGTAAAAGCTGTAACTTAGGAGCTAATCTTATTGTAGGTAGCTACCTTTGGGCTGGCTGCCTCCTGCTCATTTATCAGTTTAAGGAAGGTACTCGAAAGGGCATGGGGCATGGCTGATTCCCTCTACAGAGCCTCTTTAATCCATCAGATGTATCCTGGGGTCTCCTTTTCAAGTCATACAGATGTGTCGAATTAACTATTTTGGAGGAACTCGCATCGAGACTACCAGTTTTATTACCAGGGAAACATACGCTCAGCCCCATCTTAAGCATCGGGGCCCCTTCCCCAAAAGCTTTCTCTTAACCTCGGGACGCCATCACAAGTCTGAAGAGGTTGATGGGGCAGGTGCGTTTTCAGCAAAACTTCTGACAGTACTGTGAAGTTCCAAGGGAAGCTCTACCTCCACTCATGACCCTTGGTAACTATTTCCAAAACAGAACAGTGAGAGTTAGAACCGTCTGTAGATCCTCGGATGCCTGCGGACACCTTGAAGCAGGTGGAGCCTGGTTCTGGGCTTGACGTCTAGGCCTTACCGGCTACGTCTCCCCTTCCGGGAGACAAGATGCCCACCCGGTCTTCGGCTCCTCGCCGAAGGTCTTATCTTTCTTTGGGGACCTAAGGCGCAGCGGACCCGGGAAGCACAGCGTAGGTACTCGCCGGTGCCTCGCAGGTTGGTTCCGGAGACCTGGACCACTCTCAACAGCATGCTGTCCGACCGTAAACATCCGGTAAGGACCGACGTTCCACGTCGCCCCGCCGTACACGGCTCAGAGACGCTGGACGCAGGCGGGTAGTGTCACGAAGAGGCAGCAACCACATGCGCCCACTCCCGCCGCCTCAGCGGCCGCGCAGCGCGCACAAAGCTTCCCGCGAAATTGACGTTGCGCCGGCCGCCGCGCAGGCGCCGCCCCCGGCTCGCCCCTCCCCCGCACTCGGTTCTTTTTCACTGCGCCTGCGTTCCTTCGTTAGACCTATTGGCCGCTTGGCCGCGGCGCGCCACGACCGGCGGCGGGCGCGCCCCGCCATTGGTCAGTAGCCGCCGGCGGGGGGGTGTGTCCCTGGCGCGCCCCGCCCTCTGCTCCGCTCGCTGGGGTGCGCGCGGCTGTGGCGGCGGCGCGTGGCAGGTCCGGCGGGCGCGAGGCGGCGGCGGTGGTGGCCCGAGCCCGGCCCAGCCTCGTCCGCCCGCGGCCCGCCCGGCCTGACCCCGGCCCAGGCCTTGACCAAGAGTGCCGCGGCCTCGCTCCGGCCCGGCCCGGTCGGGAGCCTCCGGAGGGAGCGGCTCCGCCTGCCGAGAGCGCAGGCCCGGCCATGACCGACTTTAAATTGGGCATCGTGCGGCTCGGCCGGGTGGCCGGGAAGGTGAGCGGTGTGGAGCGGCGGCGAGGCCTGCGCGGGCTGGGGCACCTGGGCGAGTAGCTGCGCGGGCCTGCTCGGTTCGGGCGCCGCCTTCCTCGCGGGAACCTTCCCCGCGGCCGGGGGCGCGCCCCTCGGCCTCAGGACTCGAGTGGGACTGGCTTGCGCGGAACAGTTCCCGGCGTTCAGCCTGTGCCGGCCCGGGCACCTGCGGTGGCTCTGGCGGCCAGGCTGCACCTGCGGCCGCACGGTTTAAAGGCAGCGGCCTCCCGCCGTAACGCCCTCGGCCCATAGCTCTCAGGCGAGCGGAATAGCCGGTCCGCAGTAGACCTCGGCGGCGGCGGCGTGTTTTAACGTTGCCCAAGGGCTAGCCACGTTCGGTCACTCGTGTCGCAGGCTTCCCTAGAGCACAGACGAGGAGCCAGGGCCCTGGTCTTGGTAGGCTCCAAGGCTCTCAGGTGCTCCTCGCCCGGGCCACCACCCACCACATGTTGAAGCTGGGCTCCGAGGCTTAAGTGCTAGTCAGGAACTGTGGACCCTAGCTGTGTTCCTTCCATCACTGCCTGCAGCTGCTGGTCGGAAGAGGAACAAAGTAGAGGCAGGTTAATTGAGATCCTCGAAAGAGCTTTCAGGAAAATAAGACCGACCCGTCTTCAGAACTGCTGCCTTTGCAATGTACTGCAAGAGCTCAGGAAAGGACTGCTAGAACTTTCTGACCAGGGAGGGGTGGGAGCCTAGACGCCTTGCGACTCGGTAATTAATTGCAGCAGCCTAGACCATTAAAGCTTTTATTAGGCGTATTTGAGACCAGAGGAAGAGGCGCTATCCAGTGAGCACGTGCAATAACTACCCAGCCTACTGAATGAACCGGAATCTTCTATCTCAGTCCCATTGCCTTCCTTTACTCCAGGAAACTTGTGATTGAGTTTCTGGGTGTTTTAAAAGTTTTGTGCCACACGTCGGGGTCTATCCTGTGTGGATGGGCCCTGAAGCCTAATTACGTACATGAGATTACAATTTGCTTGTTTTGTTGTTTTTTTAGATTTGTTTTTAATATCTTTTTTGGGGGGGGTTCGAGACAGGGTTTCTCTGTATTGTTTTGGAGGCTGTCCTGGAACTAGCTCTGTAGACCAGGCTGGCCTCGAACTCACAGAAATCCACCTGCCTTTTAGATTTGTTTTTTGTTTTTTGTTTTTTTTTGTTTTTGTTTTGTTTTAATCACCCACCCACCCGAAACGGTTTCACTGTTTATTCCTGGCTGCCCCGGAACTCTGTAGACCAGGCTGGGCTCGAACTCACAAATATCCTGCCTCTGCCTCCCGAGTGCTGGGATTAAAGGCATGTGCCACCACTGCCTGGCTTACTTTGATTGTCTTTCTCTTTTCTTTTTGATATGGGAACTCACTCTGTGGTCTTGACTCATGTGGTCTTGGCAGTCCTGGAACTCAGAGTTCCGTCTTCCACTACCTTGGAGTGTTGGGATTAAAGGTGTGTACCACCATGCCCAACTTGGACTTTGATGTAGGCTGTGCCAAGTCCCCCACCCCCATATGGTTACTCTCTGTCTCATTGGAAACGATTGCAGATTCTTGCTGCTGCTGGTGGTGTTACTGTTTCTCCAATCGCCGATGTAACCTTTGAAACATGGTTTATTTTCAGACCAAATACACACTGATTGATGAGCAAGACATACCACTGGTGGAGAGCTACTCCTTTGAGGTAAGGATTGCTTTCGTTTGATGCCCAGAAAACATGGTGAATTAGTTTCCTTCCCAGTTTTGGGAGAACAAAAGGACAGCAACTGACACATATGAACCCTCAGCTCCAAAACAGTTGTGACAGCCTAGATAGACACTACTGTCTGGTAGAGCCCAGTATAATCTTTTTCACCCAGATTACTCATCTTTTTGTAAACATACTAGTTTGTTGCATTTATGATTAGGTGTCTATTTTGTCTTGTTTATCAGACAGAATTTCTGTGAAACTTTGGAGCCTGTCCTAGAACTCGCTCTGTAGACCAGACTGGCCTCAAACTCAGGGATCCGCCTGCCTCTGCCTCCTGAGTTGTCGAGTCCTGCCTACTTGTGGTCAGTACCTGGGAGAAGGAATATGTAAGGGAGCCATTCCTATGGGCCCTGACACTGAGTGCTGAGATGAAATAATTAGATGTTTTAAACCATGAACAGGCCTTTTTGGGTGTAGCTGTCCTCTGGCCACTGCACCCTCATCAGGGAATCCATCCTGCCCTCAGGGTAGTCTTAGTAGAGAATTACAGGCTCTGGTTGCTCTTCTGCCGCCTTCTCCCTTCAGCAACTTCCTTATCCATCATTTCAGTCCACACTTCTCTCTTAGCACCAAACACACACACACACACACACACACACACACACACACACACACACACACACACCCCTCCCTCTCCCTAGATGGGGTTTCTCTTTATCTTAGCAACACACACACACACCCTCTCTAACAGCCCTGACTGTCCTAGAACTCATTCTTTAGACCAGGTTAGCTTTGAACTTACAGAGATCCATCTGCCTCCCAAGTGCTGGGATTAAAATGCATGTGTCACCACTGCCCAGCTGAACACCTCACACTTTCATAGCTGCTACATGTCCAGGAATTACTTGGATTGTGTGGGTTTGTTATTTTTTGGACTGGATCTTGCTCTGAGCCTCAAGCCAGCTGTGAACACTCAATCTCCCTGTCTTCAGTTCCTGAGTACTGAGATTACAGATGTGTACCATCACAGCCAACTTTGTGGGCTTCCCTCACCTCAGATATTTTTTTCCTTGGGTTTTACTTTTATGCATATTAATGAATGTCTGTGCACTAGTCACAGATAGTTGTGAGCCACCATGTGGGTGCTGGACATCAAACCCAGGTCCTCTGGAAGAGCAACCAGTGCTCTTAACTAATGAGACGTCTCTAGTGCCACCCCCACCCCTTTTCTGGACTTTTTTTTCAAGACAGGGTTTCTCTGTGGCTTTGGAGGTCTACAAGAGCTAGTCCTGGAACTAGCTCTTGTAGACCAGGCTGGTCTCGAGCTCACAGAGATCTGCTTGCCTCTGCCTCCAGAGTGCTGGGATTAAAGGTGTGCGCTTCCCATAATATTTTCTAAGCTATTGATGAGGGTTTCTTGCCTGAGTGGAGCAGAAGCTCCTGTACTTTTTGGGTCCTCGAAGCAGAATGTTATCTGTACCTCTGACATTTTTCTAAGCTGCATTTGAAATGTTGCTGTGAGTTGGAGGTTTTCCAACAGACCTCTGCTCTGTGCTTCTTCTCAGGCTCGAATGGAAGTAGATGCTGATGGAAATGGTGCTAAGATATTTGCATATGCCTTCGACAAAAACCGAGGAAGGGGCTCGGGCAGGCTTCTGCATGAGCTGCTGTGGTGGGTATTTTCCAGCTGATAAGTCTCCCCACCTAATCTCCATGTGAGCTGTGATATGTACAATATGCCTAAATGCTAGAGAGTATTCTACCCAGAGGAGTCAGAATCAACCTTATCCTTCCTAAGTCTGGGAGTTTATTTTGTGGTCTTTACTACTAACCCAAAGGAATGACTAATGTATATATTACTTTAAACAACTGGTGGGGGTCTGATGAATTCTTGTAGAGGAAGGGGTTCTGCTTCTGATCCTTCAGATAAGTCAGGCTGCATCATTAGAAAATGGACTATTGATCCTGGGTGTGTAAGGTGGGGTTTGAAATGTTGAGACCTTCCTGATGGGGAATTTGTCTCTAGATTGGTTTGGGGGCTCTATCCATTATCCTCTGAGCAAAGCTCTTAAATGCAAGGACAGAATCATCAGCCTGGTCCCCTGTTTGTGTGGGCCAGACCAATGTGTTTAGCTTCTTGTTGGTATACCCCTTTGGCAGGGTAAAGACCCAGTTCTCAGACCACATGCTTGACATTTCTGTGTGGTTGGATACTCATGCTCAAGTAGAAGTGCTTGAGGGTCTTTCCCTCAAGAAAAAAATTGTCTTTCCCTAGGGAACGACACAGGGGAGGTGTGGCTCCCGGGTTTCAGGTGGTACATCTCAATGCTGTGACTGTGGACAATCGCCTGGACAACCTGCAGTTGGTACCATGGGGCTGGCGACCCAAAGCTGAAGAGACCTCCAGCAAACAAAGGTGTGTCTTTCCTGGCCAACACCTGGCACCTAAATGACCATCCCATGTTTCTGTGTCCCTGTTTTAGGCTTTGGGACCTTGATATCCTACCTACTATAGTCAGTGTGTGTATTGGGGTGGGATTTTTCTTCATGGGAGAGGGAAGAATTTTTGGGGGGTGGGGGAGAGTCTCCCTGGCTGCCTTGGAACTCAGTATGTTGATCAAGCAGAGATTCTCCTGCCTCTGCCTCCTGTGCTAGGTTTAAAGGTGCATGTAAACCCCCATACTTAGCTAGAAGGATTGTTATGATTAATTTGGGGGGGGATGATTTTTTGTGTAATTGGCTCTAGGAACATTGTAGCTGATGTGATGGAATGGGACCATACCCCAAGACCACTCAAATAGGTCTCTGTCATGTTCCTTTCCTGAACAGCTTTCCCTGAGAAGTGGTTTAAAGGAAGTAGTAGGACAGTGGCTTAGGGCCTGGGCCTCTTGGTTTCCCAGTGGTCCCGAAAACAACACTGCACAAGCTTTCTATTCTGGAGATCATGTTCTGACTGACCCTGAGACTCATCACAGTGAACTTAATGAAGTTTTGGAGAAGAGCTGAGGGACCAGCAGGAAATGATTGGGGGAATTTGAGCTCATAATCCCCAGCCACACAGGTATCATTGACCTGTTCACAGACCTCCCCTGTAGGGCTTCTGGGAGTGTCTATACATGTCCTTAAGTCTCAGCAACCTTCCTTGGCACTGGCCACCCCAACAGATTATAGTAGCATTAGTGAGGTTGGTGTTGTAGATAGTGGGCAGGTCTTTGTAGCAATTGTTGTCAGGTATGCTAGAGGTCCATGTACTGTAGAAGCTGTGGGAGGACCCAGCCTTTTACGCTTGATATTTAACACAGTTGCCAAACTGCCAATCTACTCTCTTGCAGAGTGTGAAGACAGACCTGTAAAGGTCTCAAACTTCAAATCTGCTTGGTTTCCTACCTACTCTGGTACCAGAGGTTTGAGTCTTCAGTTCTATCTTACCACTCCCTCTCTACCTCTCCCTCCCCCCCCTTTTGAGGTTCCTGTAGCTTAGACTGGCTTCAACTTACTATGTAGCTGAGAAGCTGATACTCATCCTGAACTTACTATTCAGTAGGGTCCCCAAGGGGCAGTCTGACCATCCAGTGATTGAGTACTGTCTTTAATCTTTTGAATATACTTTATGATCATGATATATATATATGTATATATTTATATATATATATATATATATTATGAGATAGGACAACTACAGTTAAAATCTCTATTTGGCCGGGCGTTGGTGGCGCACGCCTTTAATCCCAGCACTCGGGAGGCAGAGGCAGGCGGATCTCTGTAAGTTCGAGACCAACCTGGACTACCAAGCGAGTTCCAGGACAGCCTCCAAAGCCACAGAGAAACCCTGTCTCAAAACCTAAATAAATAAATAAATAAATGAATAAATAAATAAAATAAAACCTCTATTTGGAAAAAGGCAGTTACAGTCCTGGGGGTAGAGGGCTGAGGTTTGTGGTCAGATGGCCCATTGGCCCTCTGCTCAGCCAGTTTTGAGTTTGGTTGAAGCTCTGCCCTTCAGATAGTAGTACCTCCTGCTGGCAGAGGCAGGCTCAGATTGGACCGGGACCCTGAAGCATATCTGGTGTGTGTGTGTAAGCAGATGTAGAGGGCAAGAATGGATACGTGTGTTTCAGGGAGGGAAGTGCTTGGGCCTGTGGGCACATGCCGTCAGAGGAGGATGTCCAGTGTCCTGGTTTGCTTGTGTGTGAGGGGGTTGCTTGTGAGGTTCAGTTAAAGGGCACCTGTGCAGAAGTCAGCCATACCTCTCCAAAACCCCACACAGAGTCTGCTTTACTCACCTATGGTCAGCCAGCAGTCATAGTAGGGCTGTCCTGGTTAGGTTTCTGTTAATTTGATAAAATACCATGACCAAAGCAACTTGTAAGAAATGGTTTATTTGGTTACCCTTCATGTCACAGTCTATCATTGAGGTAATTAAGGGCAGAACTTCAAACAGGAATCTGGAAGCAGAACTAAAGCAGAGACTACTTGGGAGCATATTATTTATTAGCTTTCTCTCCATAGCTTGCCTACCTTGTTTTCTTACTTGCCTAGGCCAACTTGCCCAAGAGTGGTACTACCCACAGTGGTTTGTGCCCTTCTATATCAATCATCATTCAAGAAAAGGCCCACACAGACATGCCTACAGGCCAGTCTGATGGCAGTAATTCCTCATTGAAGCTCCCTCTTTCCAAGTGACTAGATTGTATCAAATTGGCAGAAACTAACCAGCATAATTGATCCTTTGCCAGCTTAACACACACGTCCTACTTTAAGCCATATTCCCTTCGTTTTGTTTTTTTTTTTGTCTCCAAAATCTAATGTTGATAACACAATGTAAAACCAAAAGTCAATAATATAAATAACTCAGACATCTGAGACTCACTCAAAATTTCTGAGCTCCACAGGGTTTGGGCAGCTCTGTACCACTTCTAGCTCTGCCTTCCACATGCTATAGCTTATTTTGTAGTCTCATGCTAGGTCTGCCCCACATGTGCATTTCCTGCTGGCGTTTCCAGTTTGCTGGGATTTCCAACTGAGGCTGTGCCTTACTTAGCCAATGGCCTCTGCTCTCTTCAGTGCTGAAACTTCCATGCTGCCAAAACCATTACTGTGTGAGAGACTCTTGCTCATTACCAAGTTTGGCTGCCAGCTTGAGCTGCAGCCTTGGCCCCTTGTGGGCCACAACTGTGCTAGCTGACAGAAAATACTTCCTACAGGATTTAGTTCAGTGATGTTTGTTAATCACAGCTGTTTCTTCAGCACCAGCTAGATCCTTAATTCAAGTACACCAGCTACTGGACCATCTCCCAAGCGAGCCTTCCACCACTGCATTTCTTCACGGCTGTTCTAAACTTCCACAGAACAGCCCATTAAGTTTGGAATACTCTGGCTTTTCAACCCCAAAGTTCCAAATACCTCCTTAATCCTCCCCAAAACAACCTGATCAAGTCTGTCACAGCATTATCCTACTCTGGCACCAATTTCTGTATTTTTCTGTGATTATGATAAGACACGAGTAAAAGCAACTTAAGGTAGAGTTTATTTGGGATATAGTTTCAGATGGATAAGAATATGTTATGACCAGGGAGTGTGGAGCAAGCAATAAGCATGAATGACAGTCATAGCAGGAAGCTGATAGCTTACATCCTCAACCACAAAAAAATGAAGTAGAAAGCACAAAGTGTAAGTAGCTCAAGACTTTAAACTCTTAGCCTGCCTCTGGTGACGTACTTCCAAATCTGTACCTCCTAAACTTCTCCCAATGGTGCTACCAACTGGGGACCAAGTGTTGAAATACCTGAGTCTACGGGGGCTTTTCTCCTTTAGACCATCACATGAATCTACAGTTCCTATTGTAACATTCAGTCACTTCTGGCTCACTTGTTCAGGAGGGTTTCAGAAAGGTGGGGTAGGTATAACCTCAAAGGAGGAGGAGTAGATTAATAGTAGTTGGTGCTTCCTATGTTATAGGGATGGTCTTCCTTGCAGCACCAAGTAGCCAAGCATGCCAAACTCCATGCTACTTTGTGCCTGTGAGCCCTAGCATTGAGGAGAGTGATAGACTAGGCTTCTAGGCTTGTCTGTTACTGAGAGACCGTATTAAAGGGAAAGAGGAGGGATATTTATTTATTTATTTATTTTGCTATTTGGTCTCGGTTTGTAGCTCTGGCTGCCACCACACATAGCTAGGATTAAAAGTGTTTAATGTGGCTGGGTGGTTGTGGTACATACCTTTAGGGAGGCAGAAGCATGTGGATCTCTGTGAGTTTGAGGCCAGCCTGGTCTACAAAGTGAGTTCTAAGACAGCCAGAACTGTTAACAGAGAAACCCTGTCTTGAAAAGAAAAAGAAGGAAAAAAACTTAAAAAAGAAAATAGAAAACTCAGCACTCAGGAGGCAGGTGCATCTCTTGAGTTCCAGGCCTGGTCTTCAATTAGAGTTTCAGGACAGGCAGCCTCCAAAGCTACAGAGAACCCATATTTTGGGGAAAAAAGGTTTTTTTTTTTTTTTTTTTTTTGGTTTTTTTTTTTTTTTTTGGTTTTTCGAGACAGGGTTTCTCTGTGGCTTTGGAGGCTGTCCTGGAACTCGCTCTGTAGACCAGGCTGGCCTTGAACTCACAGAGATCCGCCTGCCTCTGCCTCCCGAGTGCTGGGATTAAAGGCGTGCGCCACCACCACCCGGCTAAAAAAGGTTTTTAATGTTGAGTAATAAATACATGTGGTAGTGATGGGCAGGCCAAACTCAAGTTGCCAGAAATGGACAGAGCCTACTTGCCTTGAAGTGCTGTCTTCTCTATGCTGACCTGGTCTGACCAGAGTGTGCTGAGGCTTCTGCTTTCTTTCAGGGAGCAAAGCTTATACTGGCTTGCTATCCAGCAGCTTCCCACGGACCCTATAGAAGAACAATTCCCTGTCCTGAATGTGACCCGGTACTATAATGCCAATGGAGATGTGGTGGAAGAGGAAGAGAATTCCTGTACCTACTATGAGTGTCATTACCCTCCTTGTACGGTGATTGAGAAGCAGGTATGGTAATGGTACATTGAGTCTTGCCCAGCAGTGTGGGTGTAACGTGGCAGCTTTTCTCTGTAGACACCTGGGTAGAACTGGGCTTCTACTAGATTGACTCTTCCTTTGCTGCCATTCCTGCTCAGACAGGGCATAGGCTCTTCAGCTGCTGTGCCTGTGTAGTCCTGTCCCATATCTCAACCCCACCCCTTGTGTTCCTCTGTGTGTATATGAGAGAGAGAGAGAGAGAGAGAGGGAGGGAGGGAGGGAGGGAGGGAGGGAGGGAGGGAGGGAGGGAGGGAGGGAGGGAGGGAGGGAGGGAGGGAGGGAGGGAGGGAGGGAGGGAGGGAGGGAGAGAGAGAGAGAGAGAGAGAGAGAGAGAGAGAGAGAGAGAGAGAGAGATATGCCTGGAGTTTTTATGGGGAATACTTGCTGGTATTTGCATGTGGAACGTATGCTGAACTTCATTCCCACGTAGAGTTTTGTAGTGTTCTCGAGATGATGAGATACATTTTGTTGGTGTGATATTGAAGCCACATTATTTTGTGTTTCAGCTTCGGGAGTTCAACATCTGTGGGCGTTGTCAGGTGGCTCGATACTGTGGCTCTCAGTGCCAGCAGAAGGACTGGCCTGCCCACAAGAAGCACTGTCGGGAGAGGAAGCGTCCCTTCCAGCATGAGCTTGAGCCAGAGCGATGACGGGCTGAAGAGTGGCTACTGCTGCAGGTTCAAGGTTTCCAGCTCATCATGAGCATAGTGGAAGACAGACTGGCAGTTGAACCTGGAGGTGCCAAAGAAGCCAGCAATGGATCCAGAGCAGCTGCCATAAGACCTCACAGCAACATGAAGCCTGTGGGGACAGTGCTCCTCCAGTGTTCACCCCCAGCAGAGACATCGGGGAGGCTCCCTAGGAACTTTCTCATTATTTATATGTTAATATGTTTGTAAACTCATGTACAGTTTTTTTGGGGGGAGGCGGTGAAGGGAGGGTTAGAAACTTCAAATAGAATCATTTGTTGTATTCCTCAAATGGTAAACAGTTGACACTCAGCTAGAAACTGTCATGTAGTCGAGCTTCTCTCCTGGGCAATGGGGGTCCCACCGAGAAGCTTGCAGAGTCATGTCTAAATAGGCAGAGTAAAGGGGTAGAATCATCCTTGTGGCCAGTCTTTGCTCAAACCCTTCTTTCCAGCCTTCATTCCCTCCTCCCTAGATAGTGTCTTTCCATGTAGTTTTGGCAATGTTGGAACTCTATATAGACGAGACTGGCTTTGAAGTCAAAGAGGTCCACCTGCCTCTGCCTCCCTAGTGCTGTGATTAGACGCGTGTTCAGCACTCCTGGCTCAGTTTTATTTTTGAGGAATTGCTTTTAATGGACCTAGAAGACCTGATAGCATTCCAGGTTGGCCTCTGAGCAGCAGAGTACGTTAGCTGGGAGCACAAGGGAGGCTCTGTTATGTCTAGTGGAAGGTGCTATGGAGTGTTAAGCTGGCTACTGCTTTAGTTATTACAGGGTACTTGTTTAGCTAGGGTTTCTGTTGCTGTGATAAAAACATGACCCGGAGAGAAGAGATTATTTCCACTTGGAGTTCCACATCATTCTCCATCCCTGAAGGAAGTCAGGATATGATACAGAGCCAATGGAGGACTGATGCTTATTCCTTTGTTCGTTGTGACTTGCTCAGCCCAATTTCTTACAGCTCCCAAGACCACCAGCTCGGGTGGCACTGTCCACAATGAGCTGGGCCCTGCCAATTTTCATCAAGAAAATTCAGGCCAGGTGGTAGCAGCACATGCAGTTAATCCCAGTACTTGGGAGGCAGAGACAGGTAGATTTCAGGGAGTTCTTGGACAACCAGGGCTGTTACACAGTGAAACCTTATCTTGAATTCAAAGTCAAAAAAAAAATTCAAGACAGGCTTTTCCACAGGCCAATATGTTGGGGGCATTTTCATAATTGTCTTCTGAAATGACTAGCTTGTTTTGTTATAAAACTAGCCAGTACAGTACTGTATATCCCTACGCTTGTAAACTACCACCTTTAGGCACTGAGACCCTTGGAGCCAGGAGTATACTGTTGCCCCATTCCCAATTGCAGGGTGGAGTAGATGGTGGGGTGGAGTCTAGGCAGCTGAAGTGGAGTCGATGCCTCATTCCCTGCAGAGCTGTGGTTGCCAGGATAGCCCTGTGTTCTTTGGGGGAACAACAGGTTATTTGGTATCTTGCTTTGCAGAAACGAACCCATTTATATGGCTGGAATCTTAATCTCAGGGTATGGTCCCTCCTGCTTCAAACTTTCTACCTGGTTGCTGGCCTTCTGGCTGGTTGGCAGATTCCTGCTTCCCTATTGTATTTCTGTCATGGTCCTTGGTTCTCTGTGTTGTCTGACAGAGCACACCCTTTGATGGCCTTATGTTTTTGAGTAGAGCTCCTTTGGCTGTTTCTGCTTTTATGGCACACACTGGCCTGGAGGAGGATAACAGACTTAAAGTGGCACCATCCCTTGAGTGCTTAAGCTTGAACAGGTGCCTGTATCAGACCTATATCAAGAAACTACGCTAGCCGGGTGTTGGTGGTGCACGCTTTTAATCCCAACACTCATTAGGCAGAGGCAGGTGGGTCTCCGTGAGTTCCAGGACAGCCTCCAAAACAATGCAGAGAAATCCTATGTCGAAAAAACAAAACAAACTTTACCTTTTCTGTTCTGAAGGTCATGGTGATTTTTAGCTGACATAGTTGGGATCCCTGCTCAGATCCTAGGTCGAACATCAATCTGTGATCTCATTGAGGAGGGGAAATGTGTGTGTATTGTGAAATATTGCTACCTACAACTGACTCAAACCCTTTATATCGCATCTTGGATAAACCATTTTAAGTGGCTAGGACTGGTAAAGTTTCCATGTGGGTCAAATTTCTTGGGATGAGTAGGCTACAAAGCTGTGATATTTAAGAATGGCTAGGTTAGAACTTTATCCTATCTTTGTCCCCTTACCAGCATGGTCTGCGTTTACTCTGTAAACATTCTACCTAGAGGACGTGCAGGAGTTGGACAGTTGACTTAGAGGCATTGTTGGTAAAGGTATACATTGGGCTGGCTTTTTTTTTTTTTTTTTTTTTTTTTTGAGACAGGATTGCTCTGTATTGCTTTGGAGGCTGTCCTGGAACTCATTCTGTAGACCAGGCTGGCCTCAAACTCAGAGATCTGCCTGCCTCTGCCTCCTGTCCTGAGTGCTGGGACACTCCACCACCCTCTGGCTCCATCAACTCTTCCGCACTGCTAGCACATGCTGCTGTGCAGTGAAGGGGTTTATCAGGCCACTTCAATTTCATCCTCGAACTCCCTTTCTGATTATCCCTACCTCCTGTTCTTTGTAGCCGCTCATCTAAACTGTTGTATGAATGTTCTTGTGGTTCAGTTATGGAACCCTTTCTCCCCTCTGTAGCTTGTTGGGCTACTTGACCTTGGAACAATCTAGTGCTGGAGGGATTGAGGTCTTTAGGATGCCCTGCGTGCCACTGCTTCAGCTACTAACTGGCCTGCAAGCTGGGTGTAAAGCCATATCTCTGCTTCAGTTCCCAGGCTGGATATCCAAGTGTCAACTGAATTCTCTTCCTAGAGTTGCTGTGTAACTAAGTGCCAAAAACTGGTTGGACTAAAGCCAGAGATTGTCTCTTGGGTCTGTCTCATGGTTTAATCAAGGCGCTTGCTGCTACAGCCACTGCAAGTACTGCACAGAGGTGCTGCAAGTCTCTACATCTGATAACATTTTGGGCTCATTTATGCATTGTTTCAGACTCCAGAGCACACGTTAAATCCTCTGTCCATGTTTCCAAATTTTCCCTTACATGAAAACTATATTGGATCAAAGCTCATCCGGAGCATCATTTTGCTGCTGTAAAGTCCACCTTTCCGACCACGTGGTAGTGGCACACGCCTGTAATTCCAGCACTTGGGAGGCAGAGGCAGGCGGATCTCTTGAGTTTGAGACCAGCCTGGTCTACAGAGCGAGTGCAAGGACAGCCAGGATTACACAAAGACACCTTGTCTCACCCCTCCCCCCCCAAAAAGACCCCCCCACATTTCCAAAGGTCATGAGTTACTGGGGGTTAACTTCAGCATTTGTTTTTGGGAAATAGTTGGATCCACAAGGTGTAAAAACCTCGTTTCCCCAAGACTTATTTACAATACAGGAATTTTCTTGAGGGCTTCTGTATCTACTTGAGATCAGTTTTTTTTTTTTTTTTTTCCCTTTCCGTAAGCCTTGCTTCTTGCTCCTGCCTAATAAGACTCTAGGTTTCCCGCGGTCCTCCGGTTGGTAGGGGGCGCCGCATCTCCACTGTCTTTCCGTACCGGAAGTCTCTTCCCGGAGTCGGACGTGCCAGAGGAAAGTAGGCTGCTACGCACGCGTCTTTGGGTTCTGGCTTGATGGCGGGTAGCTGCTCGGAAACGATGCAGGTTTTGCAGGCAGTGGATACTGAGTTCACTGCAGACTCGGTGGAGTGGTGCCCAGTAGAGGGTTGCCAGCACCTGATGGCATGTGGAACCTACCAGCTGCGAACGCCCGAGGACCAGGTGCGCGCCTGGGAGGGTGAGGCTAGGGACTGCTGAACTGTGACAACTAGTGGGAAAGTAAAGTGGGAGCACTCGGGACCATCCCTGTTTCCGGCTGGTTTCTCTGCGCATCCAAAACCAACCACGTAAGAGTGGAATTGCGGCCCATGTAACTGCAGGCAGGTCGGGACCGACCTGGTAATATACTGGGTCCGGGAGAGCGCCCCTGCTCGTTGAACACTTGCAAGAAAAAGAGATGATTTTCTCAGAAATTGGGAGTGTTTATTTCAGTCAGAAACTTCTCTGTCCTGGCCCTCCATTTTGTTCCAGTTTGTGTCCCATCCTTTGTGATCTCAGTATCCGTTAAGGTAATCAGAGAATATCTATGTTCTGTAGCCTACACTGAATGTCAGCGAGCCTCAAGTTCGTTTAGGTCGTCTCTACCTGTACAGTTTCAATGAGGACAACACGTCTAAACCTCTGGTTGAGGTCCAAAGAAGGGATTCTTCTGCCATCCTGGACATGAAATGGTAGGATTTGGGTAACCCCACCTGGTCTGAAAGCTTGGGAGGTAGAAAGCCCTGCTTGATATTTCCCTAGTCATTCCCAGCCCCAGAGTCACCATTAGTCTGGGAAGCAACATACGTTCCGGTTTTATAATCTGGAGAGCTTTTGTTGGAGACAGAACAGAACAGTTGTCTCTAACCTGGTTTTGGAAATGAAATATGACTTCATTGGAATTCATGATGTTCCCGCAAGCTTCGAATGCGTACTTTTTCCTGTGTTCTCCCATCAGGTGCCATATTCCAGTGTCTGGCCACATACTTTTAGGCTTGGCAAATGCCGCTGGATCTGTAGAGCTGCTCCGCCTGATGGAATATGAGGTCAGTGATGGGTCATGCTTTAGTGGGAAAGGGACCTTAGTGGAGAGTATTGATGAGGAGTCTATACTGATAGACATATTCCTAGAATGGTCTTTGCCATGATGGACTTTGTCATAAATGCTTTAAGGAAATCATGGGGTCTGTTTTAAGTTATACTGGGTTCTGGTGAGATGAGATGTGGGTATCTCAATAGAAGGCAGTCTGAGGTTTATACCAAGGCTAAATATACACCAGTAAATTTCTCATGTGATATGAGTCTTTCTTTAAAAGATTTTGTTTTTAATTTTTAATTGTGTGAATGTGGGCTTGTGCATGTGAGTACCATGCCCACAGAGACCAGAAGTGTCAGGTTCCCTGGAGCTGGAGAGCAGTTGTTAGTTGTCTGATATGGACGCTGGGAACTGAATTCTCATCCTATAGAAGAATAGGAAGGCTAATCTCTAGCCCAGAAATGATATTTCTTGCAGTTATTAGAAGAGCTGAGACCCTAAACATCCCCCCACATGTGTTTCGCAGTGACCCCGTGACTTGACTTTCTCTGATTATTATGAAGGGCTGGGACCAGATCTGTGGGGGTGGTGAAGTCATCAGCAAACTACACACTGCCCTGATGGGGGGCAGGAACACATACTAATGCTGTTGCTGTCATGGGGCCAAGGAAAAGAGCTAGAAGGTGCTAACTGAGCACCTCAGTAGAAAGGCTTGCTTCAGGCCTGTGCAATGCAACCTTGTCCTAGAAATGAGGGAAGGAGGCCTGGGCCTAAGGATCAGACTTCAAGGCAGGAGCACAGAATCCAAGAAAACAGTAGCCTGCTTATGGAGTCAAACACTATTCAGGTGGTTTAGATAATAAAACTCACGTAGATCCTAGACAAGAGAAATAACGTTTTAAAGGCTGTTTTGGCTTCTGAAATGGAAACAGTAGTACGTTTCTATTCTCCTTGTCCCTGGGAATAGAATGGCAGAATTCTGAAGGCAAGGGCAATGCATAGCATATCCCAGCAGTGATTTTTGGAGCTCACAAAGTGGCTAATGTGTCTAGGAGTACACAAAAGCAATGCTGAGAAACCTTTTTGACCAAAGGTTATGTATATAGCAAAGTCCGTCTTAAGGTACGAATTCCCGTGTCCTCAGGCCTTGTGCTTGACAAGTTGCAAGGGCTCATTCTTAGATGAGATGTTAATTAGGGGCTGAGGGTTGAATCTAGCGGCAGACTGCTCGCCTGCCATGCATGAGACCTCCAGCTCCATCTCTAGCACTATTTTTTTTTTTTTTTGGTTTTTCGAGACAGGGTTTCTCTGTATTGTTTTGAAGGCTGTCGGTCCAGCCTGGCCTCGAACTCACAGAGATCCGCCTGCCTCTGCCTCCCGAGTGCTGGGATTAAAGGCGTGCGCCACTACCGCCCGGCAATCTCTAGCACTATTAAAGCATAAGTGACATCAACAAAAACCCAGGCAAGGCAGAGCCTGCCTCTACTTCCAGTACTTGGGGAGTTGAAGTGAAAGGACTGCTTGAACTTGGAAGTTCAAGATGAATCTGAGCAATGTAGGAGACCCTACCCCCCAAAACAAACAGAAATAACTGATGCAGGTTGCTCATACAGGGAGCATCTTCAGGGAGTGGAGGTTTGCCTAGACACAGGTGTCCCTTTTCTCTCCAGTAGAAGAACAGTTACACACTACAACCAGTATCCAGCCTTACCCTGGAGGAGAGATGTCTGTCCTTGTCCCTGGATTGGTCAACCAGGAAACCTGGAAGGTAAGGGTCAGGTTTGGTGGGGTCTAAGTCTCCTGAGGAACAATTCTTGTTCCTATTCCACAAAGGATTAAAGTTGCCTTCTGCTAGCTTGGTTCCCCAAACCTGGGTGTTACTGTTAGTCCTAACCTTAAAACAGAAGCTTGCAGCATTTCAGATAAGTAGTGATGATGCCATCATCAAGAGAAGCCAACCAGGGTTTCAGTGACAAACTGTGTTGATAGTCTCTTCCTTTGCCAGATACCCAAGAGGCCATCTTGGAGTCATGGTTGCATGCTATCTGAGAAACATATGAGACTAGAAAAGGATAGTTGTAATGGTTCTTTCTTGTAATACCAGCATTCAGGAGGCTGAGGCCCACCTGGGTTACATGAACCCTGTCTCAAACAAAGGAAAACCAGAACAGAATGGTAAGGAGAGTTTAATAGGCTCTCCATTGGCTCCTTGTTTCTAGGGCCAGAGACCAGCCCTTGAAGATCATTAGCAGTGATTCTAAGGGGCAGCTGCACCTCCTGATGCTGAATGAGGGAGCAGCTGATCTACAGCTAGTGGCTTCATGGCCAGCCCATCACTTTGAGGCGTGGATTGCTGCTTTCAATTACTGGCAGACAGAACTTGTGTATTCAGGTGAGTTGGACGTCAGTATAGTCACCTCTGATGAAGACTTGTGAAGGACAGGGGAGGAGAGAATGGGGCTGGGCCAAATCTGTGATTCAGAATATGTGAGACCTCAGGACTGTCTGGAAGATACATCCTCTGGCCAGCAGCTGTGGCTGCCACCACATGCCACTTCTCAGGAAATATGAACAGTTGACCTTTGGCACCTAAGGCTTTGTGTGGAGCTGGCCAAGGCTGGAGGAGCAGGCACCCTGGCAAGTTGCCCAGTTTCCTGGTGCTTTCACTGGGAATCATCTACTTTTTGCTTGCTCTCGGTAGCCTTTGTCACACTGATTTCAGGTCTGTCCCTTTATTTTTTATTTTTATTTCTTCTTCTTTTTTTTTTGTTTTGTTTTGTTTTGTTTTTGTTTTTGAGACAAGGTTCCTCTGTGTAGTTTTGGAGCCTGTCCTAGCACTCACTCTGTAGACCAGGCTGGCCTCGAACTCACAGAGAGCTGCCTGTCTCTGCCTCCCAAGTGGCGTGTACCACCACCGCCTGGCTGGGTTTGTCCTTTTCTAGTATTTGAGTGGTTTATCACTTTGGGGCTGTTTGTATGAGAATGAGAAATTAACAAAATTGGCCATTTTGGGTGGCTTCTCTCCCAGGTGGAGCTAAGTCATGTGAGCTGGGAAGGGATGATCTCAGAGAAGACAGGATAAAGTTTAAAACACTTGAGCTTCCCAGGGCCTTGTGTGGTCTAGCCCCAGCTTCCCTTAACTGTCCTGGAGTTCACAGAGATCCACCTGCTTCTGCTTGCAGAGTGCTGGGATTGAAGGCACACACCACTCTTTTGGTTCTGTTTCTAGTGAGAAGCCTGCACTAACACTGCCTTCACTAACCCAGTCCATGTCAAATCTCTCATGAGTCCCAGCATTCACCATAGAGTATTGTTGTGAGTCTAATGTTAGGCTGGCTGGGCTACCTGTACATCCAGACTGTCTCCAAACCAAGCCAAACAATAACCTTTATTTCCTACAACCAAAAAATTGAAACAAAAACCCAAAACCAAAACAAACAACCCCCCTCCAAACTAAGAACCCAAAACCAAACAGACCCACAAACAGAAATACAAGCAGTTAATATAACAGGGTTACCTTTGCAAACAGGCTATTTTCTCCAATCTTACATTGAAGGGGAAAGTGGAAACCTGATGTCATAACAGGGGATTGCATGGAGCTTCAGAGGTGTGAAACAGGATTTCTGGAGCAGCTGTGTCTGCAGTGAGTAGTGGCCCCACGGCAGGCGAGGGCCTGTGTGAGAGAAGCAGCTGGCACGGCCCTTGTGGCTTTAGAGGCTGTCCTAGAACAGGCCCTCCCCAAAGTGTCCAGATTGATAAAGCATCCCTCATTGTGGGATGGGTCCCCAAAGTCCATTTGTGTGCTAGGGATAAATACTGATCTACTACCCAAAAAACACATAGATTGCCTGAGTCTCCTCATTGACACCCACATTCGGGGGGTCTAGATCAGCCCCATGCTGGCCTCTCAGCCATCAATCTGGGGTCCAAGATTTCCCCCTTGTTTAGGTCAGCTGTTTCACCAGCCCAGTCTTGACCTCTTTGCTCATCACTCCTCCCTCTCTGTCATTGGGTTCCAGGAGTTCAGTTCAGTGTTTAGCTGTGGGTGTCTGCCTCTGCTTCCCTCTGTCACTGGATGGAGGTTCTAGGATGGTATATAAGATAGTCGTCAAAATCATTATTAGGGAGGGGCATTTAATGCAGTCTCTCCACTACTGTTTAGTAATACAATCCTTTTTCCAATGCAAAAAAAAAAAAAAAAAAACCAAGGTGTTTTGTTTTGTTTTTTGAGACAAGGTCTCACTGTGTAGCTTTGGCTACACAGAGGTCTGATTGCCTCTGCCTCCTGTTCCTCTGCTAGGATTAAAGGTGCACACCACCAAAAGAAAAGAGCAAGAATGGTTCATAGTAAGTTGGGAGAAGTAGAGGCTAGAAGTAGATTTGGGTCTAGGTAAAGGCAGATTGGGTTGGATTTCCTGATAAAGATGGGGTGAGTGTGTGCATGTGAACGTGTGTGTGTGTGTGTGTGTGTGTGTGTGTGTAAATGTAACAGAACAAGGAAAGAACACAGTCCTCTATGCACAGTTTATACTTAGGTTCACCTGACTTCATGCCTAGCTCAGCTTATCTGCTGTTCCACTTAATTGAAAACCACATGCTTACTCCATATTCTTTGTAGGGATCTATAGTGTATATTCAGTAGTCACCTATTAGATGGCTATATGGATGGTTGGGGGTGGATATGTGGGGAATGCATGTATGTGAGGTGGCAGATGAATGATGGATGGAAAATGTGTGGGTAGATGTTGGATCGTGAGTAAATTGATGGGTGTGATACTGGGTGGGTAGTGGATGGATGGGTGGTTGGATAATGGGTGCATAGTTAGTGAGTGAAGTAGACTCTGCTCAGTACTTTCCCTCTGCCCTTCTTCACCCTTCTTTTGGGCCCTGCTTGTGAGTCTTTTCCCTTCTATCAGGATGCTGTTTTTACACCCTGTCTTGGTAGTGCTTTTCTTTAAAGACTAGTTGTTCACCAAGGGTCTAGTTGTCCTATTGTTTCTTTCAGTTTTCCTAAAACCAGCACAGGGCTTGTTTTTTGGAGAGAGAGAAAGAGAGAGAGGGAGGAAGGGAGGGAGGGGGAGAGGGAAGGAGAGAGGGAGAGAGAGATGGTTTTAAGCTACTGATCTTGGGTCCTCTGTAAGAGAGATACATTCTCTTAACCACTGAGATACCTCCATAGTGTGCTGAAGGATCCAGAAGGACTGCTGTAGTCTCATGCCCACTGCTTCTTTCATGTTGTTCCTTGGCAGGAAACTTGGATATGGACACTCTGGTCCTGGGCAGCTGGGGGGTCATGATACTCGAGAATCCTTCTTGAAGGGGTTATGGCCAGCAGTCACTCTCATGATTAGAGTACCCAATACCATACCATTTTTTAACTCGTTATTTTGTTTTTTGAGACAAGGTTTCTCTGTATAACAGTCCTGGCTGTCCTGGAACTCATTTTGTAGACCAGGCTGGCCTCAAACTCACAGAGTTCTGCCTGCCTGAGTACGGGACTAAAGGTGTGAGCCTCCACCATCTGGCAACTCTTCCCTATTATTGTACTTATAGCCCTGTCAGAACACAGTCTGAGAATGGAATCGTGTGAGAATCCTGAGTACTTGTGAGAAGAAAACTAGATGAGAGTCTTGTGACTTCAGTTTCTTCAAATTACAGAACTGATCTTGGAGTATGCTTTTGTGCCCCTCAGGTGTAGTGGATAGGAGTGAGTTTTCCTCAGATTATTCCTCACAATTGGCCATTGTCACTTGTTTGCACACCTCTGTGGGAACCATGTGTGTGTGGTGCTTGCCTGCCACATACCTCTTGCCCTTGTGATTGCACACTTTACTCATGTGACTCCTCTTAACCCTCTGAGTATAAATTAGCCCATGCTCTGAATAAAGTTGGCTACTGCGTGAGACTTTAGTTCGCCTCATCTATCAGGTACATTCTCCCAGGTCCAATGGACTCTACCAAGTGCTTTGATCTTCTACCAAGTTCCCCTTAACTGGAAGATAGGGTGAGTGCTTAGTGACTGTTTCTGATGTCTCTCTGGGGCTTTGCTAACCAGTGATACCATAAAATCACACATGAAAAGCACCTAAGAGACTTTCTTACATTAATGTCAACTTCTCTGTCTTCCCACAGGGGGAGATGACGGTCTTCTGAGAGGCTGGGACACTAGGATGCTTGGCACACCTGTCTTCACTAGCAAAAGGTAGCTGATCAGAGCTTGGGCGTGGGCCCTCTGTGTTCCCGTCTTAGGACACTGTATCTCCTAACGCGCTTGCTCCCCTTTGCCGGCAGACACTCCATGGGCGTGTGCAGCATCCAGAGCAGCCCCCACCAGGAACATGTTCTGGCTACTGGCAGGTGAGTCCCTGGAGTGGGCCTCTGGTTTGTGCGTTTCTCGCCTTTTCTCTGCAAGGACTTCAAAACCGATCCCAAAGTTCTCAACCAACACACACTTTAGGTATCTGGGTCCAGAAAGCGGGGCTTGCCTACGTCCTTAAAGATAAGTGGGGCAGGAGGTTTGTGCAGTACTTAACCTCGGCACTAGGGAGGCAAAGGTAGGGGGATCTCTGTGAGTTTCAGGCCAGCCTTTTCTGTATAGTGAGTTCCAGGTCAGCCAAGGCTTCATAGTGAGACTCTGTCTCAAAAAATATTAGTCGGACAGGACTTGGGAGGGCTTAGGGAAGATGTGGGCATGGGCTTTCCTGAATGACAATGCTTGGCTGGTTCCAGCTATGACGAGCATGTTCTGCTGTGGGACACTCGGAACATAAAGCAGCCATTGGCAGATGTGCCAGTGCAAGGAGGCGTGTGGAGGCTCAAGTGGCACCCAGTCCACCACCACCTGCTCCTGGCGGCCTGCATGCACAATGGCTTCAAGATTCTCAACTGCCAGAAGGCCATTGGTAAGTGGGGACATAGAGCTGGCCTCAGGGTAGGGTGACTCCACAGTCAGGTTGCCTTCTCTGATTTTTCTGTCTGTGAGTAGCTTGGACTCTGGTCAACCCATGTCTCACATGTGTTGTCTTCTCCCTTTCTCACAGAATCTGTATTAGTTAGCCTAACTACCCGTGGCTTAGGTAAAGAGCCTCACCACTAGGGTGTGCTGTAAGAAGCGCTTGGATTTGCTTGGTGAACCACAACATGTTCTCACACGATCAGAACCATTTCTCATCCCCCTTTCTCTTTCCAAGCCCTAACTCCTTCCTCTCCTCATTCTGCGAATCACAGTATCTCTTCCTTATCCCCTTCCCTCTGCTCCCTCTGAAAAGAAGCAATCTGAAGACTCCCATCATTAAATTGATAGTCTTTTTTTGGGGGGGTGTTTGTTTGTTTGTTTTTTTTGATTTTCGAGGCAGTGTTTCTCCGAGGCTTTTGGAGGCTGTCCTGGAACTAGCTCTTGTAGACCAGGCTGGCCTCGAACTCACAGAGATCCGCCTGCCTCTGCCTCCCGAGTGCTGGGATTAAAGGCATTCACCACCACCACCTGGCTCTAAATTGCTAGTTTTTAAGTCATTACTTCCTTATGCCTTTTTAGTTCTCTCTCTCTCTCTCTCTCTCTCTCTCTCTCTCTCTCTCTCTCTCTCTCTCTCTCTCTCTCTCTCTCTCTCTCTCTCTCTCTCTCTCATTTTTATTTTTTTGAGACAGGATTTCTCTGTGTAGCCTTGAACTCAGAGATCTGCCTGTCTCCGCCCCCGAGTACTGGAATTAAAGACATGGGCTGCCACCACTGACTTGTCTTTATCTTTAAAAAAATTTTTTTTTAATTTGTGTGTATGTGTTGCGGACAGGATCTCCAGGATCTCATGTAACACAAACTGGCTTCAATTGAAGCTGGCCTTGAACTCGATGACAATCCTCCTGCCTCAGTGTTGTGGGTACAGGGACTACAGGACCAACCATATCTGGTGTCCCTGCTGGTTCTTGAGGATTGCTTTCACCAGCTGTCACCTTGCTCCTGGACTGTGGGCCTGCTCTGTCCTTAATGTCCTTAAGGAAACTTCCTTTCTCTGTCTGTAGTGTCTCCTCCATGCTGTTGTGGCTCTATACTGCTGCAGTGTCTACTGGCTTATGCACTTTCCTTATCTGCTGGGCTGTCTGGGGAAGTTACCAGAAAAGAAGTTTCTTCTGCAGACCTACCCGGGACTGCAAGCCATTGTCTCCCAGCCAGAAGCAGTAGCCGTTAGTTCCTCACACATGCTGTAGTCTTCTTAGCCTCTGTACTTACTGCACACGTGCTCTCCATTTCTCTTTTTTCAGAATACTTATTTTATGTGTATGTCTGCATGCTTGCATGTATGTATGAGCACTGTTTGCATGCCTGGTGGCCGAGGAGGCCAGAAGAGGGCTTAGAAATCTCTGGAACTAGAGTTACTGGCAGTTACTACCTGCCATGTAAGTGTTGTGCACCAGACCCAGGTCTTTTGCCAAGAGCAGCAAGTGCTCTTAAGAGTTGAGCCATCCCTCTGCCCTGTGCTCCCATTTCTTTTCTATCCACTTCCCATCTCACCGTCTGCCCTTTGTGAGTTACACCCCCTTGAAAGCTTTTGCCAAGCCCTGCAGTTCGGAAGCATGCCCCTTGTTTGTGAGTCTCTTTTAGCCCTGGCTGATCTCAGAGGCACAGTGCACACTGCAAAATGCATATCTGGTTTCTTTTCTGGCCACCTGTGTGTGCACGTCTTCATTCTCCTTATGCAGACTTGCCAGCTGCTCAGTGAATGTGTGCTCATGGAACGGCTGCCCTTGGTGGAAGTTGAGGGGAGACATAAATGGAGACTGATTGGCTTTTAGTAATGCCAGTTTTGTTCTCTGTCTCTTGCTGCAGAGGAGAAGCAGGATGTGACTGTCTTAATATCCCAGGAAATGCCGAACTCATTAGTGTATGGAGCTGACTGGTCCTGGCTTCTTTTCCATTCCAAGAAGCTCACACCCACCAGGTCCTTGGATCAAAATGGCATGGGAGCCCGAGCAGCAGACCACGACAGCCTGAAGGTTGCAGAGGAGCCACCGGCACCTTTCCAAGAACAAACAGTGGACCACCGTGTGGAAGGCCCCACTAAAACTCACAGCGGAGTTGAACTGAACACTTGTCTCCTTCCATTAACAGAGGACAGGAAAAGCAGCAGCCAGCTACACTGCTCTTCCAGGATCTCTGATCTCAGCCTCTTTAGTGGAGGGAATTTTGACAATAGCCTTCTGGCCACCTGCTCCTTTTACGACCATGTTCTCCACCTCTGGAGGTGGGAGACAAAGCAAGCTTGAAGCTCTTTGCATCCATATTGGATGTGACAAGCGCTGGCCTTTGAGAGTGGACTTTCTGATTCTGTTTAGGCAGTGAATGGGGTTTTCCAGCTCTCCAACTAAGTGTCTTGGTATATTTTGACTTTTAGTCCTTCATTTGTATTTAAGTCCTTGTTTATATTAAATAATTTTTTGAATTTTTTTAATTTTTAAAAAAATTCAATTATATGTTTGTGTATGGATGCTGGAAGAAGCCAGAAGAGGGCAGTGGATCCCTCTGGAGCTGTGGCTACAGGTGATTGTAAGTCACAATGTGGGTCCTAGGAACCAAACTTGGGTCCTCTTCAAGAATATATTAGCTGGACAGTGGTGATTCACGCCTTTAATCCCAGCACTAGGGAGGCAGAGGCAGAGGCAGGTAGATCTCTGAGTTTGAGGACAGCCAGGGCTACACAGAGAAACAAAAAATTATTTTATGTGTATAAGTGTTTGCTGTGTTCCATATGCGTACCTGGTATTTACCAAAGGTCAGAACAAGGTGTTGGATCACCTGGAAGTAGCTCAGTGAGCTACCTTGTGGGTTCTGGAAGAGCAGGCAGAACTCTTAACCCCTGAACCATCTTTAGCCTGCAGCTCCTAAATTTTTTTTCTAAATTTGTGTGTGAGTACACAAATACCTCTGTGCACATGTGGAGGTCAGCAGACAACCTGCAGGAGTTGGACCTCCTATCATATGAGTCCCAGGCATCCAACTAGGTATCAGTCTTGGCAGTAAGTACCACTGAGCCATTCTGCTGGCCCCATGGTCCCTTTTTAAAGTCTCACTTTATCACATTACAAGTTATTTCCTAGGGCTGAAGAGATGGCTCAGCAGTTAAGAGAACTGGGTGCTCTTCCAGAGGACCCTGGTTCAATTCCCAGCACCCACATTGCAGCTCACAACTGTAACTCCAGTTCCAGGGAATCTGACACCCTCACACAGACATACATGCAGGCAAAACACTAGTGCACATAAAATAAATCTTAAAAAATTTCCTAGAGATTTTACTTTTTTTTTGGTACTGGAAATGGAAATTGGAGGCCTTTACATGCAAACCAAACACTATTCCCACTCTGAACTAATTTTTAAAATGGGGAATAGAATAAAAGGAGGCATGTAAACGTTTTAAGCCACTTCAGGGAACACAAACCAAGTATTTGGCATGGTCAGTATGAGATACTCACCACTTCTTCATAGCATTAATAACTTCATCAGTTTTCATGTCTAGAAGATGGGTACTATAGAAACACATTAGCTACCAAGATTCCCTTTTTTTTTTTTACACTTTTTTATTGTATATTTAAATTAGAAACAAGCTTGCCTCCCATGTCCCTCCCTCTCCCCTCCACACCCACTCTCTCCTTCCGGCCCCCCCACCCAATCCCCACTCCATTCCTCAGAGAGGGTAAGGCCCTCCATGGGGGACAAGATTCCCATTTTTAATGTCTTATCTAGGAGGAAAGAGGGCATTGGAATGTGAGTGACCCTCAGTAGGATACCTAAGTGTTCTGAGAATAGTGTTTTGTTTTTTCCTTCTAAATGTTGGGCATGAAATACAGGGACTTGCCATGCTAGACAACTTATGAGCAGCTCGGCCTAAACTGTGCTCCCAGCCTAGCTAGCTTTTCCTTCCCCGTGCCTATATATTCCAGGCTGATCATGAGCTCATCAATTAGTCCAGGAGGGTTGGCTTTGAACTCTTGGAGGCCTACCTCCCTACCTCAGCTTCCCAAATGCTGAGTTCATGGGTATGAAATACTATGCCTTTTAATACAGGGTCTTAGCTAGGTATGGTGGTACATGCCTTTAATCCTAGCACTAGGAAGCACATGAAGGTGGATCTCTGAGGTTGTGGCCAGCCTGGTGGTCTACATAGTAAGTTCCAGGACAGCTAAAGACATGTAGAAAGACTTTATCTCAAAAAGAAAGGAATGAAGCCGGGCGTTGGTGGCGCACACCTTTAATCCCAGCACTTGGGAGGCAGAGGCAGGCGGATCTCTGTGAGTTCGGGGGAGGGGGGGGGAACAGAAAACAAAAAGAAAGGAATGAATGAATAAAAGTGTTTTGTTACATAGCCCTTGCTGATCTGAAACTTATAACTCAACACTATGCCTTGAGTTTTCTTCTTCTTCTTCTTCTGGCTTTTCAAGACAGGGGTTCTCTGTGGCTTTGGAGGCTGTCCTGGAACTCACTCTGTAGACCAGGCTGGTCTCGAACTCACAGAGATCCACCTGCCTCTGCCTCCCGAGTGCTGGGATTAAAGGCATGTGCCACCACTGCCCGACATGCCTTGTACATATGTATTAATGTGGCAGACAGAGGTCACTCTCCGGTGCCATTCAAGATGGCCTTGTCTTTTTTTGAGCCAAGGTCTCTTACTGGGATCTGAAGTTAGATGATTAGCCTAGACCTTACTGGGCTGCAAGCCCCAGAGATCCGTCTCTTTCTTAGTGCTGAGATTTTAAGAGCTACCACACTTGCCTTGTTACACGGGCTTAACCTGGGTTTTCATGATTGCGTGGCAACCACTCTATGAGCTGAACTCCCCAGACCTTGTGTTATTTTCTGATAATATTTTCAGTTTTTTGGTTGCCATTAAAGGGATCAATTCTCAGTTACTGGCCCAGTTTGTTTCAATATAAGGTGCTGAACAAGTCTTAAACGGGACAGACGTATGTCTGAGGGACTGTGACCGAATCAGGTACACTTGGCACTAACTTCCATCTTTAGTTTTTCCTTGGGGATAGTTACTTTCACCTGACAGGAAAGGCACCTCTGCCATGGAGCCTGAGCGGTGCCTAGCCCTGACTCAGTATTTGTTTTTGAACTCTGTAGTCACTGCGTGGATTCTAACCTGCAGCACACATCAATGACTTTACTCACACAGCATTGTATGAGATACTAAAGGCCTTTAATAGAAATGCACAAGGAAGCTGCCCCTACTCTTTGAGACATTCAGAACCCAAGGCTTGTATTGTCTCCACTTTGCAGGCAAACTTTTGGTCACTGTCACGGTCTCCTAGCGTGGGAAATTCTTAGGATACAATTGGAAGAGCTTGCCTTCCTGTGTGGGCTCAAAGCCGTATTTCTCCAGGTTATCAGGATCAAAAGTCCCTTCTTTAAAGTCTTTTTCAATAGCAGGCGCAGCTGTCTGCAGGAAGAGCGCCTTGGCGGTCAGGGGTGTGTCTATGCCTGCAGGAGCTCGGTAATTAACATAAGGCTTGAGTTTGAAGCCAGTCAAGTCCGGGACGACAAACTCTGGGATCATTTCCTTCACCTGCACAAACTTCCCACTAGAGGTATAGATGCCCGTTCTCTTGGCACCCCGGCTCTTGATGAAGGTGCGTGGTCCCCGCTTGCTGGTCCACTTGCTCATCCTATCCGCTCCCCGCACCAGGCCTTGAGTAACGGCGGTCAGGAAACCCATGCTGGGCTCTGCAGAAGGCAGCTCTGAAAGAACAAGGCAGGAGAGGGTGCCGATCAGAGCCAGAGGGACTGGGCACCCTAGAACCGAAGAGCAGAGAGTGCTGTGGACCCTGTGCGTGCAGACGATCCGAGGAGCCACGGGGGTAGAGGACCCAAGGCCCCACCAGGGAAGACTACCACTAACCCTGAAAGATCCCGGACCCAAAGAATCCCGCGCTGGCGGCGCCAACTGGAAACGCTCACCGAACCTGGGCTGATGGCTCCCGAGCTCGGCCCGCAGGCCTCTTCTCTCTTTCGACCTGGGTCAGATCAAACACCAACCCCCAGACCTGAACTGTGTAAACCAACCAGGGAAAGACGCGCCCTCGCGTTTCCGGCCGTCGGTGGGCCAGCCACTCCGCAGCAAGAGCTTCGTGGATTGGTCGCCAATGCGCCCAATGCCCAGCCTGGGCGGAGGGCTTGTGGCCGAGGAGACTCAGCCAATCCGCGTAGCCGCGCGGAACCGGATGTGGAGCGTGCGCAGTCGCGCGCGTTCGCCCTGCGCCGCGAGGTGGCGGTCTAGGTCTGCCTAGTAGAGAGGTCGCCCTTGGCCCTCGTCAGCCCCGCGACCGGACGTTCACAACCGCTGCGCCGAGGGCCCGCTTGCCGCAGTGGCGCGGACGTCATCGGTGCTGCCCCGCGTCCTGGGGGTCGAGGCTTGCGGACACTCCCAGTCACCACCGAGCCGTGGCTTCCGGGATTGACGCGCTGTTGAGGACTGGGCCAGTGACCGGCGGTGTAGCCCACGGTCTGGCGCGTGGCCAAGTCTACTTGGGTCCTAGTGGTCCTCTGAGTCAGTCATCTTTGGTCCCACCACACCCACCGTGCACGGGCTGTCTGTCCACACGCTGCACGCGTTAGCTGGGCCCCTCTCCCACCCTTCGCCCCTCTCGATACCTTGTCCTCCTTTCCCTCCCGGTCACGGCTCTCCCGTGGCGATCACTCCTAGGCTATCACCTTCGCGTTCCTCACCCCTTTTGGGCTGTGACCCCCTTGTCCCAGATCTTTATTGACCCTCTGTGCCCCACCCCTCGTCTCATCCCCCCAGCGGACCACCCCTCCGCTTCGGTCACTTCTCTCCTTGCCTTCCTGCTCTTTGCCTGTTGCTCCGTCTCTTGCTCCTGAGCCACTTTCTTCGCTGTGCCACCAGTATCAACTGCCCCACCTCCCTGAACTGTCAATTTAATCTTCTGGTTTCCTCCCCGACCCGCAAGCCGCGCGTTTTCCCAGCGTGGCTGCTAGATCCCTTGACGGTGCCGCTCGATCCCCCATCCCCCACCGCCACTGTCACCCCCCACCCCGGGCCGCAGCTATGGGTTCCCCTTAGATCACGTGAGAGCTGTTTACAGGAGACGGGAGCACACGGAGAGAGCAGACGCTTCTGGAAAACAACTTGTTCTGGAGCACAGAGTTCTGGAGTCCCTTCCAGTGAGCACCTTTGACTGGGAGAGGAGCTGGCAGGGCTGGGGCGACAGCTGCCCTGTTGTTGTAAAGGATCTGGTGGAGCCGTTTGTCTCAGCCTGTCAACTTTTCGCCCTCCACATTGCTTTGCTTTCCGTCATGCGGAAAGAGGAAGATATCTGCCTTGAGGTAGGTAGACCAGGCATGGGTGAGGACCAGAACTCCCAGGCAGGGCATTTCCAGAGGACAGTAGGATCCTTTGCCTCGGGTTTCTACACAGGCTTCCTGAAGACCCAGAGAATGTGGGAGTGGTGACTCAACGTACTCCTCTATCAGAGCTCTGACACCTGTTACTAGACAGTGTGGACAATGGGACCTGGCTGTTAAGTCATGATTGAAGCCTCCTTTTCTTCCATTAAGGTAGCAGTTGTCACTTCCTGCTTTCTTGTAGAACTTCGGTATTTGAAGAGTCTTTTTCTCACCACTAGCCACATCCCAAAGGCCTTTATTAGTATTTTGGGTGGGTTTGTTTGTTTCGTTTTTGAGACAGGGTCGCTCTATATGTCTCTAGAACTCACTCTGTAGACCAGGCTGGCCTGATTCACCTGCCTCTGCCTCCCAAGTGCTGGGACTAAAGGCATCTGCTACTATACCCTGTGCCTTTATTTTTAAACTAGAAGTCCACGTGGGACTGTTAACTCACAGTTGTGTCTCATTACTGGTAACTTTAAAGAATTAACAGCAAGACCCATTAGAATAACCGTAAAAAGCTAGACGGGCCGAGGTAGTCCTCTGTGGTAGACTGTATGCGTGTAAGAGCTGTTCCTTGGATAAGGTAGACTTAGAGGGAAGCAGGTGTGATTGGGGTGCTCTTGTGCACCCCGTTTTGAGAACTAAGCTGGGGCAGAGGAGAAGGGAGGTTGAGCGCCTCAGTTTTGAAACAAAAAGCATATTGGCTATACATTGCACAACAGACCACATGCAATAGTGATCCCGGATTGTGTTGCTCGGTGGGGCAACAGTACTTGTAGAAATTCACCCTGTGACATTCACACAGTGATGAAGTCACCTGAGAACATTCTTACTGGTGAGGTTCTCCCTCACCCTTAAACAATACTCGGCTATTTGCCCCCTGAGCTAACATGACAAGGCTGTTTTCTAGGCAACCCACTTACTCTGACATGTGGTTGGACTGTGCCTTTGGGGTTCTTGAGTGGCCTCCAGCTCTCCTTGGGTTTTCTGGCAGGGATTGCTGAGTCTGATGCTTGTTTTTTGTTTGCTTCTAAGACTGGGCTTTGGCCCTTGGCAGTTAGGTAGAAACTGCGAAGGATGAGTCAGTGGGCTCTTGCCCTGTGCAGTTCCTAACTGCCTGGAAGCCACGGTAGATGGGTACCTGAGGGCTGAGGGAGGGCCGCAGGGCAGGTTCTGTGTGGAGCATGAGCCAGCTTCCCTGCTGTCCCCAGTCACCCTTGCTCTCCTGCCTCCTTCCCTTCCTTGGACACCTCAAGTCCTGTCAGTGCCTTCTGGAGACAGCAGCGGACAGACACAGCCCTCCCTGCCATTTCTTCTTTGGCATGCAAGTTGATTTTGGATGTCTCTGAATCCAGAAGGAGCTTCCCTTGGGGCTTCTTTTTGGTCTTCATCCTTTTTGTTTTTAAAACTGGGTCTCACTGGTTGTCTAGGCAGGGTTTGAACACCTGGGCATACATACATGATCCTCTTACCTCATCCTTCCAGGTAGTTGGGACCACAATGAATGTGGACATCAGGAACTTCATACACAGTTGGGAGTTTCTGAGCATTTGTTCTGAGTGGGCTTTCATGGATCTTGGGGGTTTGTAGTCCTGGTCCTGTTGGTATCCAGAGGGTACCAAGAGATGAGCCTTGACCTCTCCTAGGCTTGCTTCTTGAGGATGGAGAGCCAGAAGTCTGGTTTATTTATTTGTTTTTTAAATTTTTATTAATTACATATACAGTATGCTGCCTGCACATATGCCTGCAGGCCAGAAGAGGGCCTCAGATCTCATTACAGGTGGTTGTCAGCCACCATGTGGTTGCTGGGAATTGAACTCAGGACCTCTGGAAGAGCAGCAAGTGCTCCTAACCTCTGAGCCATCTCTCCAGCCTAGAAGTTGGGCTTATTAATGCACATGCATTTGCCAATAGCACAGATATTGTGCCTACTCATCCCAGTGCCAAAGGAGACAGGTTGCTGCTTTTCTGTTCTTGCAGTTGAGCTCAGAGGGTCTCAGTAACCCTGGTAAGATCACTTATGTATGTATGTATGTATGTATGTATGTATGTATGTATGTATGTATGTATATATATACACATACACACACACTTTCTGTGTGTATGCGTGTAGCTGTGCAAATGTAATGGTACAGATGTGGAGTTCAGAGAACAACTTACGGGAATGAATCTGTTCTATCCCGATACCATGTGGTCTCCAGGGTTAAACTCAGGTCATCAGACTTGTCAGTAAATGCCCTAGTGCTAAGTTATCTGGTAGCTCTTGTCTCTCAAAAATCTTCAGGGCTATTGACTTCTTCCCCAGCTCTGACTTTCCTCTTGTTCTTTGACAAAGCCCAGGCTGAGAAACTGGGCACCCTGTCTGTTCTCTCCTCAGGCTGGCTATTGTTTGGGTAGCACCCTGAGCTCTTGGGGGCTGCATTTCATGGAGGAGCATTCACAGTCCACCATGGTAATCACTGTGGGCTTCCCAGGGGCTGGGCCCTGATTGGCCGTGTTTGGTCCTGATGACACTGTTATCTGTCTCCCATCCTGTGTAGCTGGTCGGGATTGGAATTGGAGCCCTCCTTACACTGTTCTTTGTTGGTGTTGCCATCTTCTGTGTGTACAGAAGGGTGAGCAGATTGCGTGAGTATCTTGGTTTGAACTCTGGCTGAGCAGTGGGTGGGGGTGTGTGTCTGCATTTGTGTTCTATGAGATATTTGGAATTCCTGGGAGCTTCGCTCAAAGTTTTGTTGGAATGTGGTCACCTACTGAGGCTCAGGTTGAGGTTCCCAGTCTGTCCATAGCCCTTTCTGCTCTTTCCAAAACTAGAATCCAGTAAGAACAGAAGAAATTCCCGTCTTCTAAGATGAGTCCCCTGTGTTACTGCTTTCTCCGCTGTGAGGTAGCCAGGGGTAGGGTAGCCCAGAGCACGGTTTATTGTCAGCACCTTCGTCTTCAGGGCCCGTCTGTGCTGTACTTTTTTTTAGTTGCAGCCATTTTCACTGCCTACCCATTCAAGGCTATATACAGATCCTGCCAACTCACAGTGCTCCTTCCCTCCTCACAGGACAAGCAGAGCCCACTCCTCAGTACAGGTTCCGGAAGAGGGACAAAGTAATGTTTTATGGCCGGAAGATCATGAGGAAGGTAACTTGTGTGGAAGCCCGGGGGTGCACAAGGCAGTGGTGAGAGTCTTTTTTGTTTTCGTTTTTTTGGTTTTTGAAGACAGGGTCTCTCTCTGTGTATCCGTGTCTGTCCTGGAGATTAGGCTAGCTGGGATTACAGACATGTGTGCCACCACCAGGCGAGAGTCTTCTGAACAGTCCTTTGTGGAATGGGGACCCTCAAGCTCCTGATCTGTGCTGCCCCCTTCTCCTCTGGTCCCATGGCCCCTGCCACTGGGTACAAGTTTAGGAGATGCTTTAAGTCATAGTATCTACCTATGGGACCAACACATTTTACCTGGAAATACCTCACTTACTGGAGGCAGTCTGGGAGGCATAGTGCTGGTGGCTATATCTGGTTTGAAACACCTGAAATGCTTTGGCAGGTGCCAGGGACAGGGACACTTGGGCTTTCTGAAGTGCAACTTTGTGTTAACAAGAAATAGAATAGGAAACTGCTTTCTAGAAATATCCCTAGGTGCAGGAGGGACAGGCACAGAGGGCATGTGTTTATCCCAAGGTGTGTGGTCACTGCCAGATTTGGAAGGCTGAGCCAGGGAAGGACCCTAGCTCCTGGGGACCCAGGTGGAGCACTGCAGTTGCCTAAGGACCACATTTGTCCTAAGATAGAAAGCTCTCTTTTCCATGTCT